TTCATATTTGTGTAAGTGAAAGGTGAAACTAGCAACTAAAAGTGAATCTAGAAGCTGATCAGTATGCATATATAGAACTACTAGCTGGCCATCAGTTGGAAAACTTTGCAGCAGTGATAATTGGACTAGATGATCTTAGAAGCCTTTTCCAACCTTAATGATTCTGACATGATTCAATGAAGATGTATAAGAAAGTATAAAGAAACAGTCACCAAGGTGAAGAATGTTTTTAGACTACGAAGGTAACTCACAATGGTCTCTCCTGAGGATACCTAATTGCTTCTTGAGCTTTTAAAGATAGTTTGGCTTCCACTGATTTATGCTAATACTGCCAACTAATGTTGTATAACCCACCAAACACTATCTCCATAATCCGTGGTCTGCTATCAATAACCTGGAAGAAAAGGAAAGTGGAGAAGTACTCTCAGTGCTGCCCACCATCTCTCCAGCTTTAGCAATTTGTCACTACCAAGATCTCTCTTTCCTCTGTTCATTTCCCTACCTTGAAGGGAAATGCATGGTGCTCATCACTTGGTTTCTCTCAATAGCTCCTTATGGGGCTGTGGTGCCCCCAGCTTTACACCTTTGCACAAATATTTTGTAAATGTACTTCATTCCTTCTTACTCAAATTCTTTATGATTACTTGGCCTTTTAGTATCTCTAGATGACAAAACAATGGAACCACTGATGAACCACAAATCAATTCATGGTTGTTTTTAGACATCACAAAGTAAGGCCACCTCATCTATTCTGACGATTCCATAAGCTGTAGTTTTTCATGTCTTGCAGTTGTCTTTTCTTCCCACACATACTTCTCTGATTTTCAGAGACAAACACCACTTTCTAAAACTGTTCAAAAGAAAGCAGGACTAGCTGTTGTTCTTTCTGTTCTTTGTTCCATTTTTTCTCTAAATCGTTTCTCCACCTTCACATTTTCGTCTCCCTCTCAGGTAACCCCACAGGTAAGAGGTATGTTTACTACTGATCTTTTATGATTAAGACACTGAACTTTGGTCACTGAATGACTCCTATCTATAGGTTCAGATATCTGCCAGCCATACACTAGTCCCTAGGGGATCTCTCTTAACCAAGGAGCCAATTGGTGCCGAGTCTAGACCTTAACCCTTAAGCATCAGCATCCCCCAGTGGTTCCATGTATCACTGCAGCTCATTTGAGTACGTGTGTCTGTACGTTTTTTTTTTCTAGGTACCCCAACATTCAACATACATGTAAATTCAAGAAAAGTGCCTCAGACTAACCAGTACTTAAGAGTCCTCTCAACTCAGTAAATGAATGACATACCACAGATAAACTTGGATGTGTCTATTAGAAAACAGACCTGTAAGATCAGGGATTTTTAAAAAGGGGGAATTTAGACAACAAAAATCAGGTTCATTATTGCACTGCATTTGAAGAATTAAAAAGAGGTTGAGAGCCTCTTTGTAGAATATTAGGTTCTATATCTACTTTTGGCTTTTTTTTTATTACAAAATCATGACTCATGGAAAATTTACTATAGCAACCATTAATTTTTAATCTGCCTTCTGGTAGAAGTTCATAGATTTAGAAACTATTGTCCATCATATCTACTGAAATAAAATTCTAAATCAAAAATTCCTGACTGACACTTCATTCACACAATGAGAAATCAACTATGTTCTTAAATATATCCTGAACGATGTTGTGACCTGCCATATGCACAGTAGTCGTTCTGGGAAGTACAAAATAGTCTGCAGTAAGCATATCCTGGTCACAGCCCTTTGCAAAATAATCTGAATTTCTGCTGATTGGGACTGCTTTCCCTGTTTCCTGAAAAACGTCAATCACTGAAAAAAGGTCAGATAAGGGAATACTGTAGAATGATGCTGGAAGGGATGGAGCATAGTAGAAGTGAGAAAAGCAGACAAATGATGCACACCTACTATGATGCTCACATCTCCCCAACTTCCTCCTGCCATGAATCAAAACAGCCACATCAGCACAAGCCCTGCATTGCTGCTGATTCAGCAGAGGGAGAATGAAGAGGCGGAAGCATGAAAGGAAACAGAGGTGCATCAGAATCTCACCAGACCTGATGCCACAAGTGCCCAGAGAAGCAGCAGAGCTTCATCTCATCTGCTCTGTTTTCTAAACAAAAAAGCCCCACAGTGTCACCTAGACATTTCTTCTGTCTCTGGTTCACATACTACAACAGCTGAGGACATCTAGCAGAGTTTTATAACAGATGCATACTGCCACTGTTTCCAGTGCAAACACTGAGTACTTGATGCAAAGGGAAGACAAAAGCAATAAAAACCCCAAGCCAAATGCCCAGAACACATGTACCTTCTCTGCAATCAGAGGATCAAACACCAGGCTCCTTCCCTAGAGGTAAGAAAAGTGTGATGAGGGCAGTATCTCTGAAACAGGGCCTTCATGAGCAGCAGTCAGCCCAGAGTGCAAATGTGCTGAGACATGACAAACCCATGCAACACCTCTTGCTGATACTCTTGTTATTCTGTGTTCAGAGGATTTTTGAAAGGAAGTTTATTTTTACAAGCTGCTGAGTGCTGACTATGATGTGGGGCAGCTTTTACTTACACAAATGCCTCAGTTTTTGTTAAGGCTCTTAGACAGACAGCAATTACTGTGACATTTACAAGAAAAGCAGTGTAGATACACTTGGCTTAGGCTATTCAGTGAAAGTACATCTTGTAACAAACAATGGACAGTTACGGTTCAGCACAAGAAGAGGAGGCATCTTTTCATTTTGAGAGCAACCATTCTCCCTTCCTTTGGAAGTTCTAAAAATATTTGAGAAGTCTTGAACAATGCTCCTTGGCAAATGTCATTGACGCTACCTAAAACTCAGGGGTTGGTATTCACTGTGACAAATCAGTTTTATGCAGTTCAGCCATCCATTTAGCCACCAGTTGCTTGAAGTGATGATTCAAAAAGGTCAGAGACTAGCAAAATAAAAACATGTATTGCAATTCAGTGCATCACACAGCACTGAAAATTAATCCTGCTGCTAAAGAAATGGAAAATGCACAATAAACAGATTACCAGAAATTAAAATTGTTTTAGACCAATTCTCCTGAGCCTTTAAGGTTGTAACAATGATTTCCTATTTATATGGACTGCTAGAAATCTCAGGTGATTCCCTGTGGAGAGAACCATGAATATGTTTTCCAGAGCTGAGGAAAGGAAAATAGATAGCTATAATGGAAGTGCAGGAGCAGCCAAGCAGTAGATTGATTCAACAGGAAAAATTCAATGCATCCCAAAAGATTTCCTAGGATTTGCTCTCCTGCTGCTTAGGGTGCAATTTGTTGTAATGAGAAACTGAGGATTTTGTTTCAGGTGTGTCAGAGCTTATCGTGATGACTTTAAGGTATATATATATATATAAAAAATACAAGTGAAAATCACTCTTAAATAAGCTTCTGGATGAAGGGAGAATAAGGATGAGTTCTTTAAGTTACATAAAAAGGTCAAGTACCTCGTGCAAACGGCATTTCCTAAGAGATACTAATTGAACAAAGTCAAACCCTTTCCTTCATATCCAATCTCCTGCATTAAACCGCATGAAAACTGCAGTATGATTCAGTAAGCAAAACACAGAAAGCTTTGTTATGTATGATCTGGTACAATCGCTCTCGGTCTCCCTGTAATCTTTGCTCACTATAAAAATCCTCAATGTTCAGTTGTGAAGAACCGAGTTAACGAGTTATAAAACAAAACCCAAGAGAGAGCACTGAAAACGGGAGGCTGCTCTGCTCAGCCAGAGCTGGCACAGGGAGAAGACCAGCAGGAAATGTATCCTGCTGCAGTAATGCACCTGTTCAGAAGGCTAAATGGGGCATGTGTGACGTGAACTTCACCCCAAAGAAATACGAGAACTTGTTGACACTCCTGCTCATCTGTATGAGAGGTAACAGTGACTACAAACACATCACTTCTCTGCAGTACTGGTTTAGCACAGACCACACAGATTTCTCACTAACTACATTATGGCGAAAGCTCTGAAATGCTGCATTGTTTCTCAGCTGCTGCCCAGGATTTTATGCAGAAACAGGTTTCCAGATGAAATTGCCTCAGGCAAATACTGCGTGCTGATGGCAGCCTGGTTTGATTACAGAATCTGTAAAATCTGAAATGCTGATATTCACAGCAGCATATATTGATGTATATGGAGCAGTAGAACCCAAGTGAAGAAAGGGATGCTCTAACAAATACCTTCCCCAAAAGGAACATTCATGTACGAACGACACTATATCCAGACACCCAGCTCCAGGTTATAAGCAACCCAGATATTCAGAACCAAAGACTTTCAAAACAGACCTTTTAAAACAGGGCAAACACAGACTAGAGAAGGCAATACCTGCTCATCTCCACTAGAAGACCAAAGCTGCATTACAGCTCTAGTCTCCAATCAATTTAAAGATCTACTGCATGAAGTAGAATCTTCTACAGCATCCTTGAATTCCAAAGAAGGTCCATCGGACTCAGAAACTCTGCAAGCACACCGTATAGGATCAAGTACTGACAAGTTATCAAAATAACAGAGTGTCTTTTTCACTTTGAGCTGAAATTTCAGTTTACAAGATTGAACTTTTTTTTTTTTTCTGCAAACTCTCTGTACAGAGTACTGTGAGAATATACATTTCAGCCAGCACTACCCGCCCAGCCTTAACACAGCTTAGCATAAAATACTGATAGCCTCACAAAACATGGTCTGAACCAGAAAGTCAGCTTCTGATCAGAGTGGTGGGGTAACATCTCAAGGAGTTGATAATCAGTTATCATACTTTCTATTATCATTTTATTTACTCTTAGCCTAACTATGCAAGCAGAATGGAAATTCTGCCTCATCCATTTATCTGGAAAGCAAAGCAAGATTTACAGCAAGAAGTAAAAACCACTAAACAGCATCTAGTCAGCAACCTTACCCTGTAATGAGACACTCCCCATTGCACACTCATAGCCAGAAACAGCTGAATCTGCTGCAGCTCTTACCTGTATGGTCCAAGTGTCCTGCTGCCATAAGACAAAGCTTGTTCCCAGGCTTCAAGGTTAATACAGGCATCCATGGCACAGTCCAGCAGTTTCAGCTGATAGATGTTTGTATCTGGAAGACGACTGGTATGGCTGCTCAGGAGATGCTGGCATTTTGCGAGAACCTTCTCCCACTCTATTATTGGCCATAGTCAAGGAAATATCCTTAAAACAAAAACTCAGGTCCTAAATGATGTTAAAAAGGAGTGGGAGCTACAGGATATTAAGATAAAAAAGCTGCCATCATTTCAGACTGCTTCCATTCCTGAAAACATACTTGTGAGTGGCAGCTTAGGTAACTGTGCTTTGTGTACACTTAGCAAAACAACTCATAAGGAGGGCAGAATTTCAGCAATAAGAGGTAAATGAAAAAAAAAACCCAACAAAATTACAAGATACTTTAATAGATAACAAACTAAAATTCTGTTACTTATGTTTTAGCTGTTGAAGAATCATTATTTACTGAAGTTAATCCTTTAAATCAACAGCAGGAATCCTTGGAAATATGCCTTCAAAAAACGGTTCAGGAACTAAAAAAAGAAAATCAATTTTATATGTACTAAAATAATGACACACACTTTCAAGCTGCACAGGGTTTTTTTCAAATTCTCATAAATTAGAACCTTTTTTGCAATTAATCTTTTTTCTTTCTTGAAATAGTTGCAAGAAGCACTGTTTTTTTTCCATGTATTGCTGCATGCTTCCTGCATTGGAAAAAGAAGCATCACAGTTCTGATGTCTGAGCATGGCTCGTGTTTAGGGATCTTGGCAGAGAAGACGATTTTTACCTCCAATGCTACAAGAAGATTTTTGTGTTTGGCAGAGAGGAAAAGTAAGCTGGGAACTGCATTCACATCAGTTGGATGTGCCTTATCAGAAATCACTTATTTTTATTATACTCTAAACTGGTTTAGCCTCTCAGTTGACCAGCTTCTTCACTCTTTGACCACAGCTAAACTGAACACTGATCTTCCAAGATTTTAAATGAGTACTATCATCTGGGACCTTATTGGAGTCCCAGAATGCAAGCAGTCTGAACACTAAAAACTGTTGCCGTAATAAGTGTAACAAATTAAACAAACAAGCAAGAATTACAGTAAGAGAAGCAACAGCACTGCTTGCATCAGAGTCCTTTCTACACAATCAACTCAAGGACATTCAGCAATTATCTTCGTGACATTACTGCAAATGTTATTCGTGTCAATCCAGCAATGGATGTAAGTGCACAATGATAACCCTATGACAAAAAGTAATTAGTCCTTCCTGAACATGGGAATATTTACATACTTAAATTTAAGAATGTGACCAGTATGTGTCTGGGCCAGATTTATAGCATGGCTGTTACAAGGCTAAACTAATGATTTGTGAATTGCTCTCATGTCCTTGGATTGAAGGAACTATAAGGGAAGGAATGCGTTATTATAAAATTCCATGTCAACCTTTATATCTCTGAACAACATTAATGTATTCTCCACAACTGATCAGGGACAGACAATCAGAAGAATTGAGGGATATTATTTCCACTTGATACAATTTTTTTAAAAAGGTGGGAAGCACTGACATTCCTGAAAGATTACCATTTTAGCTGATATGTAGTATTGCTCTGCTTTTATTTCTCATTATGTTGCTTCGTTCATTCACTTGTATCTAATAGCAGAAGTGTTATACCACAAAACCTGTAGAGAACAAATTTTCAGGTACATAAATTGCAAACTAGAAAATTCACTATCAACTGCCCTGGGACTAAAGGGGAAGCTGGCTATCTTAGATCTAGTCCAAGTCTGGAGAAGCAGCTTTCAAGCAACTCTGCTGCTGTTGAGCAGCACACAATAATCCCCCTGTACTTGGCTTTAATATCCCAATTTTTGTGCTTAAACTGGATTTTTTGAGACAATTTTAAACACGCAGGTTGTTTCCTGTTCTCTGCAGATTAAGCATTGCAACACTCCATCAGTAGCTCTGGTTTTGGAAATGACTGTCTTTCTAAACTGTACAAACTATTCATTTAATTTGCTTAAAAAAAAAATACATTTGCAGAAAGGAATCACAATGTGGCTCAATCAGCAAAGAAGGATTCTGTCCATTCTTGGCAACTGAACCGATGTCAAGCCCCTTCCTCATGCACTGTGCTCACTAATTCATGACAATTAGCAGTGGAACAGCACTGTGCTGCAGTGGAATAGTTCCCATTATCTGAGAACAGAAACTGAACCGACAACAGTGGCATAATTTTTCAACTAGGCCTGATAGCTTTTACTATGGTGTGTTTGATTAATTTGTAAATATTAGCAAAATGAGCAATATTAAAGATCCTGACAAAATTCAGTAGGTGCAATTTCTGCTGCAACTAAATATAAGGGCATTAAATTCTAAGGTATTTTGGCTCCTTATCAGTTGGTACCAAAATTATTTCAGTCTCACGTTGTATATTTATTATTTGAAGTCCAGGTTAAAACACGGACCCTAAATTACAGTTGAAGATCTTGTTCACTATTGCCCATCTCAAGTCAGTGACTACAGAGAAACTCAAACCGGTTTACAGACTGTATGAGTGTAGCTTAGATGATCATTTCCCTTAGCAACAGTCCATTTGCTAGAAGACCGAGTATGTCTGGAATAGAGAGAAAATCTATTTATTTATTTATGGTTAGAGAAAAGAAATTTTGTTTCCAGTTTGGAGTACCACTGCACAAAATTGCTCTTTAAGCTGATGAAACATAGTACTCAAAGATGTCATTCTCTCTGGCTCCAGAGATAGCCCAGGTTTCAGAAAACAGCAAGACACCTTACTACAACATAGAGAAATTCACGGTCAGCAAAATTCCACTGAATAGATGAAGATGAGAAATGGATCAATATGGACAAATTCTTCCAGAAAAAAATCTCCACTTCTCTTTTACTTATCTTTTTTGGTCTTTGCTGTTCACTGGAGTTTTAATTGAAATGAATGTATACATGATGGCCATTAGTCTCTAATCCTGTTATTACATTTAATTTGCTTAATTATCACTTACTGTTATGTAAGTTATTACAATGATTCAATAATTTTTTGCAGTTACCTTGACTATGATTATGCCTTTGTTACTGTCATTGCTATGCAAGGAATGAGAACCTGAATTGTTCACCACAGGCATAATGGGACAAACAACATTTCAGTTTGAGTTTTATTCCATTTAGAAATGGATTTATATGAACACTGTGAAGGCAGATGTCTAAGTTTGAGCCAAATTATACCTTCTCCACCCTACATACCTGCTACTCCTGCCATGAAGCAGTTCCATTCCAAGAAATCAGAGACTATTATCACTTGCACAACTGGGAATATTACATGGTTTGTGTGTACTCACATCAAGCGAATTAAAATTCTTTTTAAAACAACGTAAAAGAAAAAAAATGTAGGGGAGAAATCTCAAAAGATTAACTGCTTTACCTCATGATTGTGTTCACAACAGAATGACAGACTGTCGCACATCACTGAAAGGATACCTTCTTTTGATTTTGGATATTTCACCTCATTTACAGCATCTTTGACTTCCTTCCAGGCAGGCTCTTCACCTGCCAATTTCTTGGCATCCTGGTTAAAGAAAAGTAAGCATTTGATTAGAAAAGCAGTAAATGAGAGGATACAATAATGATGAAAAGTAATCTAAAAAAAAAAAAACAAAAAAAACCCACACACACTGACAAAAGCAAATTTGGAGAATTTGATCACTTTTTTTCTGGAAGAATACAAAAAATTAATTTTATTTTATGTTCATATTTAGCCAGTGCTTGTAAGCAAAGGATAAGATGCGAAGGGAAGTGAATGCAGACATGGAAACATCAAATACTCAAACCAGACACCAGGTTTACAACAAGAGCTACGATCACACAGGAAACAGAACCAGTGGCATGTGACTTTTTCTACAAAACACACTGAGAAGATCAATTTCTCTCAAAAACCCAATACCTAATACTTCACAGACTCTTAACCACACTGTAGAAGGTATTCAGCAAATAATTTTGTTTAACCACATGCTGATTATTGAGACTTCACAAGCAGAGGAAGGCTATGATTGCAAGCATGAGCTTACAGGAAATGTCTACAACTCAGAAAAAGCTGAACTTTGGTTTTGTTTCATAATTCATTGTTATTTCTTTTTTATTCCACCCGATTATATAAACAGTTACATTTTCCTATCACTTTGTTATAAAAAAGGCAAAAATGATTAATGGTTACAGCAGAAAGGGAAATGGTTTCTCTTCCAGCTCTCTAGCAGGGACTAACTGCACCTCAGGCAAACCACTCGGAACAAATTTATTAAAGCATCCCACAGACACAGCTAAGCATCTTGAGGGATTTCCAAAAGCATCTAGCTATTCAACTTCCATTGCTATAAGCACTTAAATACCTTTAAAAATCTGGCCTTTAAGACATTGCAGTTCATTATCTCTCTCTCCTTACAAAAGGCTCTGCTACTCTCAAAAGACTTTTTTAAGTGTAAATTCAGGACTATTTTAAATACAGTTCTGAAAGATCAGCCTTCAGCAGGGATAGAGGCCTGGAGATTAATAGAGAACATGCGTTAGAACCTAACCAAGTGCTCTGTAACCAACAGATGCTCACTGTTTATGAGAGGACTGCCTCTATTTATTAAAAAGCTTGCAATCTGTCTAGAAAAGCATAATTTTCGTACTCCACTGCTCCTTATTTACCTTGAATTCAAAGCAGAAAATATTTATAGTAAGAATCAGCACTCACTTTCCCATTCAAGTTTTGCAGTTTTGTTCTTCCATGTACTCCATAAGACCCCAGACCTCTGTGTACTCCTGGGAAGATTAAATTGGACTGCTATCAGCTGTCCCACATATCTGTAGGACACAAATTACAAGCAGGGAAGCCTTACTTCAATGCCTTTGGCATGTGTACTTCCCACGCAATCAATTCTCTGATAAAAAAGCTCATCTGGAAGTAATTCTGCATGTAGCTGAATTTGCCACCAGAAGAACATAAGGTGAATGTTAGGAGAAGCAATCATTTGTTGTAGAAATGTCAGTACAGTTAATGGACATAACAAGCTCTGTTCCTGCTTTGCAAGAAACCTACACTGATCTGTTATCTTTAGCATAACCTCTCCCAGTTTTTGAGGGAATATGTCCATTTCTGAGCTCAGCCTGCTAACACGTAGCAATCTAATTTAAATCTCCTTTGTAGATAAGTGCTGTTCACTGTTGGGATTTAAAAGATAAATCTAGATATTAATAACGATGTCTGCAAAATATAGGGTTTAAGCAGCTACATGGAAAACAAAAATTCATTGAAGTCCAAATACAATTCTCAGTGTTTCTGTAGCACGTATTAAGCCTCACAAATAAAAACTCGGAAACAAGGGAAATGAGATGGATTTGTAAACCAAAGAAAGAAACCTATGCAACAAGTTACAGGCAAATGACTGATGCGAAGCACCAGCAGGATTTGATTTGCTCGCTGTGGGACTGATGGATGAATCAAGTTAAAACATTCATTGACAACTTTTTCAGTTGCTTTGCTTTGTCTTCTAGAATTTCATTTACAACACAAAGCAGTCCAAGGTTGGAGTTTCCTCTAACCTTTACACTAGAGCATAGGGAAAAGTAATCACAGGCTTAAAAAATATCAGGTAGAGAATAAGGAGTGACTGTTGGTCAAATAATCTCAAAACCCTCTCTGGATTCATGGGGCTTTATCCCTTTTGTAAGACACTTCAGGATGGAAGGAGCTGGGCACCCAGCCCAGCCCTGGGAAGGATTTAAGTCACAAGTTTCAAGGAGATATTTTCTTTGTTTTCAAGAAGAGGATTTTTGGGACTGGCTTATGTAAGAAAAAGCAAAGACCCAGTCTTGCCTATTCTTCATCAGATATTCATACACCAAAGAAGACCTGCCCTCTCCTGAACACTCTTGTTCAAGGCACAGTGGCTGCTTCCAAACTGGCAGTCAAGTAAGAGCTGCAAGGCCACCAAAAACAACTGTCACTTCTGCCGTCCACACTAAATGACAATGGTTTCTTCTGGACACAAAATCTCTGACTAAATAATTATAGCCCAGTGAGGCAGCAGCATGTAATTCTGCTCCTGGTCTCTTTTCATGATAGCTTTTAAAATATCTTTATAAGGAAACTTTATGAAACTTAATATTTTAACAGATTAAAAGCTATGTACACCTCAAATATCTGAGCATTTCACAATAGAGAGCAGACCACAACTTTATGATTTGCTTAGTTTCTAAAAAATTTAAGTGTCAAGTACAGATGTGAATCTGAAAGAACAATTCTGACCAACTTAAAAACCAACGAGGTTTTCTCAGGTTTTGTTTGGAGAAGGTTTCTGAAGAGCTCAGACATTTAAATAATGGCATGACATTTTAAAGTTATACTCTGAAAGCACAAATAATAACTTTCTAATTCTATTCAATAGAGCAGCAACCACTGACAGCACATTTGTAGTAAACACATTAACTCAGAGTTTTAGACCTGGTGTCAAGAGGAAAGCATTACATGATTCATGTGGACTGCATTTTACAGAATCCTAAATTTTCACCCACTTTCAGTCTTGAAAATGACTTTGTTAAGAGCTATGCGAATGTGAAAGGGTCAGTGCACAGTGCTGGCCCTAATGAACTGTCACAACCAAGATTTACCTGTGACATAAGTCTCAAAAGTTCCCCTGTTCTGCCCCATGGAAAAAAAAAAAAAAAAGCCAGATGCACAAATGCCAGTTCAACTATCCTGCTCAACTTGTACAAGGCTGTCCTCACCACAAGCCGAGCTGGCAAAAGAGAAGGACTCATATTCTTTGCCATACAGATCTGAATAGGGTGGCTGTGATATGTAGTGATTCCAAGGTTACTCCACAGAATAAAAAGTGTTCTGCTCCCAGTAAGACTGTCGAGAAGGGGTGAGCCCTAATTCAGAACAAAATGGATTTGCACATTTTATTTTTAGAATTCTGAAAGTAAAATAAGACACATTGTGGCTGCATGCCATATTGCAACTGTGAAGTACACTGTTCAGTATTAGGCAGGCTGCATTACCTCACATCATTGATAATGGCTGCTCATATGGCACTTATCTGCATGCATTACAGATTCCGGTGTCTGGAATGTAAAAAGAACTGAGGCTAGTAATACTCCAAATTGTACTGGAATATTTAACAGTCCTTCACACCATTTACATTTAAGGACTCCACTTAGGCAAACAGATCAAGATGAAAGTTTCCCCACACCCTGCATACAATCAGTGGAAAAAAAACAAGTACATTCAGATAATTGCATGAATATCATTTCACTAACATTGTGTAACTTAGCTACCTTAGCTACACATTATGTTTCTCCAGTAACTTAAAATGAAGCATCAAAAATTGCAGTAGGAAATTTATTACAATGACATGCTTTTAAGAAAGAGAAAATTAAGATCAACATCCATCTCAAGAAGTTTAATCTAACAAAATGAAATGGGGCTAAGATAAATTTATCCCAGCAACATCTTAGAGTTAATCAAATTTAAAGCGCAAATTTGAGAAACAAATAGAGAAACAGCTCACAGCCTCTTCTAGTTCCAAATCCAGTGTGTCAGACTCACAATTCTGCACACACACAAAAAATAGCATTTCTTTAAGAATCATATTCCACTCTTATTCACTGCAACCCATTTCTACTCATTTCTGTGATTTTTTTTTTAAACACACACATTTTAAAATTGCACTTTCAAAGACCACTGTATCTACATATTTTGTGTTACAGGGGAAGTAAAACATCTCCTACTGAATACCCTGCTTGTAAATCCAATCTTAGCCTTCTCGGATAGAGCAGAATACAACATTTTTCACTTCTGTTCAGATACCCATGCTGATTCATGTGACCAAAAGTAGATATTTGGGCTACTTTTCTATTCAACAGAGAAACAGAGGCACTCTCAAGGGTGCAACTCGTGTTGTTCTAAAGCAAAGTGCTATAATAGATAGGTCACTTTGAAAGTAAGGTCTCCCATTTATTTCCATGGAAACAAAAACAGATACAAAGAGCACAATAACACTATTTGGTAGAGCAAATTCTCAGCTGCAAAACACTATTTCTCAACATAGTCATCACCATTAACTAGCCTGCATGCTGTGCCCATAAAAAGCGGCACCAGCAGAGGTGATTGACTGTTGCTCTTCACCACTGCTGAAATGCACTGCCCACCTCCTCACTATGCCCACATCAACCATTTGGGCTCTAAAAGCATTCAGCAAGTGTAGATGAATGGCAGTGGGTGTCATTTTTTTCCACACGGAAGAATTCAGTGGTACCCTTTTGCTTCATATGTCCTTCCATGTCAGATGCTATTCTGTCAAACTGCCCATCTGCTGCTATCTGTCACATGGCAACAAAATGTAATGAAATATTGGTGGGAAGGTTCAACCTCTACTGCCATACCACCAACCTCTGCCTCTGACATCATGTGCCAACATAATAAAATAGGAGGCACTACTTTCAGAGCAGCCATCACACATCAGATGAATAGCAGCCAAAGAGAGTCCTTTCTTCTCCATTTTACCCACAGCAGAAAGCAAGAGT